TACCTCTTCCTCCCCCACTCGTCGCCCCTCTCACCCCCCCCCCCCCCCGTCTCCCTCTCTCTTTCACACACACGCACACACACACATATTAAATATACACACATGAATACACACAAACGCACACACACACATATACACACATACACACAAGCATAAACACTCGTATCACTCACATAAACAGATATTTGATTAGTTCACTTCGTCACAACGAAACATATAATAAGTAAAAGAAGGAAAACAAGTGCCTTTCTGTGTCTGACATTTTTATGGAACAAGTGATCACAATTCATAGACGATGTACATGTGGCAGAGTCGCCATAATAATTATTCGATAAATTACCCTTTATTTACATGAAAACACAGTGTTCTGCAACAGCGTAAATACATTGATTAAAAGTTGCACACCTTGCACATAGTTGTTGTTTTTTAATGGCGCTGACACAACTGGACTTTCGCCATTAATGCACAATTTTATGTGATGTAGCGGTTAAGCGCTTCGCTGTCGCATGCAGGGTATCCAAATTCAATTTCTGAGAAGGGAGAAATTCCGTTGGGATGCTGTATAAATTTCTTTCAGCTTGGGTTGACCCTGACAGGCAGGGTCCGAAGCTGGTTTCCTAAACGATCTAAATTATGTCAATAGGGGCGCACAATGGCGTACATTGAAAATAAAATCAGTTAATGCAATTGCCACGATGTCTTATGGCACAGATTTTACGATGTCTTCAAAAACAAAAATGAGATTATCGTAATTTGGCCTTCACACTAAAAAGACGAATCTTTACTTGATATTTCTCTAAATTGGTTTATGATGGCTACTTCCTTTGGCCACACGTTTATAACAAGTGAGAGTTGGGTTAATATAAGATAAAATCGCATCATAATATTTCATCATAAGGGTATAACATGGTAATCAAAATCATTGATATGAACTTTTAAACCTCAACTGATTTAATAAGAATAAATAAGTATCAAGTTTAAAGCAAAAAGCTAAATAAATACTTGATATAAAATGACATAACTTAAGTGAGCATGGATAGCATTACAAAAAGAGAAAAATAGCAAACATTAGGAACAATAGACGTCAATAAATGAATGAGAATGACAAGAATTCGTAAATAACGTAAAGAGGAATGAAAAACGAATTAAATACATTCCATCAAATTCTTCAATAAAAGGTTAACTGACTAATACATTATTACAGTTTCAATAACATGAATCCAGCTTGTTTTCGTGTTTTGTTTTGCTTTCCTCATTTGGTTGTAGTTTTTTTAAAGGCAAAACTTGAGGCTAGCCAACACATATCTCATGCAAAGTAGTACCTCCGTTCATTTTTAAGGTACGTGAAATAACACAGATTTTCTGTCAAGGCAATGTATATCAATGAGAAAGTACTTTTTTATAATAAAAGATTCCCAAGGCATTGAACGTCTTACTGAGCTACTTTAATACAACTGATAAACGCTCAAAAAGTATAGTAAATTGTATTTGAAAAGGCAGTTGAGAAAAAGGATAAATAGACGGAAAAACAGGTTTGCTGATCGATCTATCAATAGATACAATACAGATAGATAGATAGATAGATAGATAGATAGATAGATAGATAGATAGATAGATAGACATACTATTTTGTGTTTAAGTAAGAGAACCATCTTCGTTAGTAGTGAAAGCAGAGACACACATACACACTTACAGACACACACACACACACACACACACACACACACACACACAAACACACACACACACACACACACACTCACACATGAACACACTAACAAATAAACTTACGAGCACAAAGATATATGTTTACGTGTTTATATATTACTTAGTCAACACTCACATTTTGAATGATTAATAACTATGGAATTTTAACAGAGATAATGACAAAGATAAGAGGGAAAATATATAAATGGAATCCCTTTATCTTTCAGAATTGGCGCTATGATCCTAATAGAAAAATTCATTTATTTAAAAAAAAAGAACCTCATTGGCAGATGTAAATAATATATTGAATAAAATATCAATAATCATAAAATCAATGATATAATACTAATGTTAATAACAATAACAATATAACGATGATAATAATAATGATGAATACAACACCATTGGAGAATTATACCAATGGGAAAACTATTAGTAGTCGTAATAATCATACAGAAGTAGTAGTAAAAATTATAATTGTGATCATATTCAAGATGTGTTATATAATTATCTCGGTTATTTATTTGTCATTGTTTTCATTATTATCAGTTTCATAGTATTATAAAGCAGTAAAATTAACTGTCCAATAACAGTAAGTATAGTACGAATAACAACAGCAACAAAAATAGCAATAATAATAACAATAATAGTAATTGTAATAGCAGTAATAATAGAAATAATAATTGTTATTATAGTAAAGAATAATAATAATAATAACGATATAATAATAATAATAAAAATAATAATAATAATAATAAAAATAATAATAATAATAATAATAATAATAATAATGATAATAATAATGATAATAATGATAACAATGATGATAATTATAATAATTATAGTACATGCAATGATATTAGAAAAACTGTATTTATACAGCGCATATCCATACTCTCCATCGTGCTCTAAGGTCTTTACAACAAATACTATAACAACAAATACTAGTCTAAAAACAAAGAAATAAAAATTATCATAAAAATTGTAATAAAACTTGTATTAAAAACACTGCTAACATTAATAATTATAGTAATGCTGATAATCATCGTTTTAACATAATGAAATAATAATTATTATAACAAAAATACTAATGATAACAAAAAAGTAAAAATAAGTATTTGGAAAAAAACCCAATGACAATAACAATAACATTAATTATAACTACAATAATAATAATAATAATGATAATAATAATAATAATAATAATAATATTGATAATAATAATAATGATAATAATAATATAATAATAATAATAATAATAATAATAATAATAATAACAATAAGAAGAAGAAGAAGAAGAAGAAATTAGAAAATAACATATCGGTATAAGCTATTATTGTAAGAATATAATAAATAACTCTATAAAAAACACCTTCCAAACGGAGAGAACAGATTATTCTTCAAGAAAGGAATGATGATAGACGGCAAGCACTGACAAAGAGTACAACGAAAGAGTTTCCCCAAACATTATTTTCTGGACTGCCTGTTTTTTCTGAATTTCGGGATTATCTTAATTTTAGAATCGCATTGCCGGCACATTGCAGCCTTACTGAAAAGCTGCAAAAGCAAGCTTGTAATGCGATTTTAGGGGGTTGCGAATGTTTCAGCAAGCTTAGTTTTGAGTTAAAATTCCAGACATTTATATAGGTCAGGTCAACCCTAGCTGAATTTCCCCCAAAAGTAATTCCCTGCGAAAGTCTATGAGTTGTTAATAGCATTGTGAACATTTATCTTCTGTGCTATAGGCACGTCGCGACCTAGAGGCCAAAGTACGAGACCAAATTGTTCATCTCTAAAACTAAAAAAATGATTGCTGCAACTTCAATCAATTTCTCTCAGTTCCTGCTTTTTCTCCAGATAGGAAATTTCTGTCACTGATATTTTTTTTTCATCGCGAGGACACATATTCGAAATTTATAAAGTATAAAATACACAGCAGAGTCTGTGCAATGAGACGGTAGCAAGAAGTCAAAATGTCCACACGCTGACCCATTCTCAATTCTTGAGAGTTGCCTTAAACATGTTCAGGATCTTTGGCAAAAAACACAAGAATAAAGATACGTCTTCTAAAAAGTACTGTTCATTGCAGTACAAGAGATGTGATTTTAAGAGGTCATATCTGGCATAACAATAAATATTATGTTAATGAATATATAAATCAGTGAAGTACATTCATAAAAATTTACAAATATATTATAACAATAAATTTATAATCACATGTCTGTATCATTGTTTAAGTACACTGTCGTCGAGACCAACTCAGAGACACACAAATACAGCCACACACACGAATAAACAAATAAACACATAATATACACACCTTACACACATGCATACGCAAACAAGCCTGGATATTTTTCGGCAATCACACATACGCTCTCTCTCTCTCTCTCTCTCTCTCTCTCTCTCTCTCTCTCTCTCTCTCTCTCTCTCTCTCTCTCTCTCTCTCTCTCTCTACCTCTCTCTCTCTCTCACACACACACACTCTTTATCACACAAACACACATTCTTGTTCTCTCTCGTTGTCTCTCTTCTTCTCCATCTAGCCCTCTTTCTATCTCTTTATCTCTCTAACTCTAAGTGAGTGTATCTCTCGCTCTCACTTTTTTCCTCTTCTGCACGTGTCTGTCTATTTTCTTCTCTGCCTCTCATTCTTTTTTTCTCACTCTTTCTCTTTCTCTCTCTCTCTCTTTCTCTCGTACCCAATCTATTTTTCTTTCTGTCTTTTTTGTCTTTCTCTCTCTCACTTTTCTCAGTGTTTCTCTGCTTTATATGCGTTTCTTTCTATCTTTCTATCCCGCTTACCATGACATACTCATATTAGACATAAACACAAAGGCTCAAACAGAGCTATCACATGGTTTGAATGCCTAATTCATGGGCGTCGAGTGAACATCGGCGTCTGACTGTTATGACCATTCACAACAAGTAATACGTTGTAATTCTTTTCTACCACCCCTACCAACAAAAGCAATGGCATTCTTTAAATTTCGATTTACAGAGTAGAAGAGAAGCAGATGGTACGGCTTTGCTTTCAGTCAACTTTGAAGTCGATCCGCTCTATCGTGTGCGCAGACCCTCTAAACAAAAGTGAAATTGATCACTGTGACCCAGACAGCACCACTGGGTACTGAGTATATCATAGCGCGTCACTGACTAGTCTCGAGGGAACAAAACATCGCCCGTTACGGTAAATCCACTTTACAGGAATCATTTTCTCTCCCCAAACTGCCACTTTGACGTCTGGTTTTATTTTGGTTAATGGGATCCTTTAGTTTTGTTTCGTAGTTGGCTTTTGTTTTGTTTTTGTTTTTGTTTTTTTTCTTTCTTTTTTTAAAACTTTAAAAATGTGTTGTTTCTGAAATGATTTGAAGTGACAGGGCAAGGAAGATCCTGTCACTACCCTGAGACCTTAACAAAAAATCACGAATCGTATTACATATGAGGGAGATATATAGATAGATAGATAGATAGATAGATAGACAGATAGATAGATAGATAGATAGATAGATAGATAGATAGATAGATAGATAGATAGATATATACTTAGATATAATGATAGATTGCGTAAAAATGAAAGAGAGAAATCGATAGTGAGAGAAAAAGACAGGGAGAGGGGAGAAAGAGATAGGGTGGGGTCTGAAGGGGAAAGAATGACTGAGAGAGCGAGAAAAGTGAATTAAAGTGGAGGACGGAGAGGGGGGAGGGGTTTGAAGGGAAAAGAAGACAAATCAGCTGGGATATTCATGATCTACTAGGTGTCGCTGAGGAGGTGGATCTTCTTCCTGTTTTGATTCTTGAGGTCTGCTGCTGATGCCTCCTAACGGAATAGCAGCAAGCGAGGTTAGCGATTCTCTTCCTCACTTTAGGATGGCTGATGGAGTACAGTATAGGATTAAACACCATAGACGTCTTGGCAATGAGGCTTGCGGTCAGTGTGTTTTGGTACGTGAGCTGGCTCCGGTCCCCGAACAGTCCAATTATACTCACGGCAAGATAAGGTGACCACGACACTGTGAAAGCAATCAGGAGAAACATAATGATCTTAACAGTCTTCTGCTCGCAGTGCAAGCGGTAGCGATGTTGCTTGACGAATAACGTGCTGCCCAAGGCGAGATTGTAATTGTGGCGAATCGCGCAGAAAACATTCCTGTGCCAGCGGGAAATGCTGAGAGTGGACGAGGACCTCTGGGTTTCTGAAAGCGTTGGTACGGAAGTGTACTTTCTTTGAGGATATCTCACGACTCTTTTTGTTTCGCCATTCGAATGGAATGTTGTTTTGGAAAGGCCGCTCTGATGTAATTCGCTGTATAGTCTACTTTTGTCTTGAGGCACCGTGATTCCTCTTTCCAATTTTTTGTGATTCGAAGACAGACAGCGTAATGGAAGCGTCGTAGACGTGTCGAATGTGTCTTCTGATTGTCGCATTTTCTCACTTAGGCGTGAAATTCGATTTTGTTCATTGGCGGACTTAAACGATTTAAAATACTGTTTGTGATCGAAATGTTTGTCGTTGACATTGCACTTAGAAGAATCTTCAACGTTTGACCCTTCTCTCACAGGCTTGAAAATCTTTGCTAAAGCATTATCCAATAGCTGTTGTTCGTTGCAATTGACATCACGCGTCTCTTCAGCAATGTCGTCACCTTTTGGCACCTCTTCGTTCTTGTAGAACTCACTACCGGTTGAGGAATTTGTCTTAAAGCTGAATCTCCCACCCCCACGTTTATAAAGGCGATGTGACCTGCAACTGTCACTGGAAAAACGCCTTGTTCCCATTGCAATGTGAGAGGACTCCCGTTCCAAACCAGATTTCACTTTACGGACGGCGACCCAAATCCTGAAGTAAGAAAACACCATTAGAGCAAAGGGAAGAACGAAATTCCCAATCATCATCCCTATTACAAAGCTTCGATTTTCCCAGGTACGGGTCAAGAAATCAAATGTACACGTTGTTCTGATACCATCTAGAACGTAGGCGCCCCAACCAAGAATCGGACATAGAGCCCAGGAGATCGAGTACGCCCACACCGAGGCGACAGCGATACTTGTGACACACTTTGGTAGTTTTTGGCCTGGAGTAGGACGTCTGACTACTGCCCAGTAGCGATCAGCTGCGATTACAGCCAACGTGTTTATGGTTACTAGGCCGGCTATGGCTGTCAGAAAGGCGTACATTTGGCACACTGTGGAGAGAAAGAAATTGATAGGTTTCAATTTTTAGAGTTATTCACATCGAGAATATAATGAAAGTAAAAGTATTGTCTTATGGATTTTAAAAAAAGTATATCACTTACTCTAGACAGAATCCCTGAAACATGTATTGTGTGATTTCAATCAGGAGTTTTCTTTTCACTATGAAATAAGACCGTATAATTAAATACGGTTTTCGTGTGATAATATATGTCAGTGTTTTTGATTCAATTGTCAGCACTGTTCTTAAATCAGACAGTACACTGCACACGTTCGTAGCTGAAGCACGAGACCAATTAATTGCAAGTTCATAGTTTTCAATGGTATTCAAAATGTATCGTATTCCCAAATTCTGAATGCCTTACTAACTCGATGCATACTTGTTGCCCATTAGAACAACTCAAAATAATACTAAGACCGCGATGAGAACAATAACATACTTCACTGCCTGCAAAAGGTACTTGTGTCTCTAGTGTAACTTTACACTGTTAAACCTCCGAGACCAACACGGAATGGGTGGGATATTGTTATGTGGGAATACAACTTCTACCGTATACGTTCAACGCACAGGACATGGATATTGTTCCTATTTTTGAAAAATGATATCCAACCATAATATGGGCAAGTGGATGGTTGGCGGGTGCTCTGGTGTGGTTTATTCCTTCTTTCCAATCAAACCTCTGCTATTTTCCTGAACTCTCCTCCTTCTTTTTTGTGCTTGTTACTCTCTTGTTACTCTCTCATCTTAGGCACTTATATGACCTTATACTGTTGCAAGTGCCGTGAAACACTTACTAAAACTAAACACTAGTATGGGCTAGAGAAGCTGATTTGAATTCCCTTGAATTCGAATAAAGTGTTAATAACATCGCGTAGCCTTCTGTGGGGAGGGATACGGGACGAGATGCGCGGCTGTTAGGGTCAATGCGAAAGACAACGAGCATTCATTTGTGTTACCTGTTAATTACTATGCACTATGAATGTTATTGTGGTGACTGCTATTTCGATACGTTTTTTGCTGGAATTATCTAGGAGGAAGAGAAAACACTTACACTGTTATACATTTTTTTAAACGACAGTCATAAATGCATATCCAACAAATGTAGCGTTCCTCTAATAGCTATTATGATAAACATAATATTCTAATATCGATGATTACAGAACGGATATGATGGTACAATTACACTTGGGAATCATTTTGCTCTGTATCTGAGGTCAGATGCCAAATTTTAATTATGCCACTGTTGAATTCCGTTTGATAACATTATACGTTTTGGACGCTTAGATTTTATAACCATATTGTGGCATCAAGCACACGCACACCTCACTTATGTCTACTGGATTTTTAAGCTCTAACAGTAGTGAGTAGTTATTATGCTGTGTCTTACAGATGAAAGATAAACCTCATTTCGTGACTAACAAGCCCTTCATACGTCGGACAGAAGATTTGTCTAGGTTGTGACAAGACAAATCTCCTTATCGTGGGCCTGCTCAGGTGTTGAGACAAGTCAACGGACAAGAGAAGCTTTCTCGGCTGCTGAGACTTTGCTAACCTAGAATTTAAAAGTTCTATTTGCTCAGTACCAAGTTTTGAGAAAATTGACTTTAGAAATGTTGAGTTTCACCGCATTTTAAGCTTTTTCGAATGCCATTCTTTTTATATCTTGGTAACGACTCGGGATAGTCTTAGAATTTTGATAGAGCATATAGAACGTTTGGTTTGTGTTCACATGGCTTAGTAACTCAAAACAGCCCAAAAAGTCAGATAGAACCTTGTAATTCTCAGGTAACGCCTTGTCTGTAAGCTAGAAGAGTTTCCTCAGCTCTTGAGACAAGTCTGTGAACTAGTAGACAGACTTAATCAGCAGTATCTGTCATTAAGCAAAGGAAAGTACTTGATACCACGATATGTCGGCTTATACTTAGCATCAATAGTGAACACCCCCTCCCCGACCCTACCTGCAAATTGTCAGTAAAACCCTGTTAAAAAAGAAGGGACCCTTTAGGGAAGGGGTAGTATGTGCGTAGATTTTTAGTTTTAGTTTTTTTAAAGTGGACTTGCAAAAGGAAACATCAGTGCGTATATAAAAGCCAGGCTGGTTGAGAGCTTGGAGGGAGAGGGGTTCATTCTCTGCACCGATTTGGATTCCTTACGACAGAATTGAAATTGCTGTCAGGATTACATCCTAGCTTTTTAAATGGTTCATACTGATATGTGAACATCTGTACTTATCTTGTCCAACAATTCAATCTCTGTTCTTTGGTGATAAACAGTGGCCACCGCGCCATATCTAGCGGGATATGCGGCACCTTAACAATAAAGGATTACTGACTATAGAATACAGGAAAAGAGTAAACTACAATGTCAGAACGAGTACAGCAGTTGGTTTCTAGTGAGTTTTCTGTTATGAATTGCAGCTGATTTCGACGGGCGTCATTGTCAGAGGCCATTGAAAATAAATCTGTCTGTATTGGTTATGGAAATAGTATATCATCACCACCATGTTCAATCATCTTTCTTTGACGGGTTTTGACATGGACAGAATAAGAATAGAATTATATAATACAAATATTTATCAAGGAAATCTCTTTCACAAACACACCCTCCCTCACATACGCACAGACACAAACAATCAGACATCGTTGCAATTCCAGTAATAACTACCTTGTCGACCATAAGGCCACTCGCCGTAAAAGCTGGCGGCTGCAAGAAGGGGGAAATCGATCAGACACATAAGAAGATCACCAACGGCCAGATTGATGATCAGAATATTGGATCGTGTTCGAAGGTCCTTGAACCTGCCAAGGAGAAATAAATGGTTATCATCATCGGTATTCTCATCATTATCAACATCATTACAATTATCACAGTTTCCTTGTCGACGTTTGTGTGAGGACATAAAAGAGAAAGAGAGTGTGTGTGCGTGTGTGTGTGTGTGTGTGTGTGTGTGTGTGTGTGTGTGTGTGTGTGTGTGTGTGTGTGTGTGTGTGTGTGTGTGTGTTGATTGGAAGGAGGAGGGGTGATATACTTTTTTCTTTCTACTTCTTTACGAGGGTGAATTGTCCTCATCTGCTCCCTGGCAAACAGACTGGCCTTGAACGGGAGAGGTCGTTCAGAACTGCAATCGAACTAACGAAAACACAACAACATAATGCTTATCAATTCCCCATCATCAATAAAATGCCATCAATAAATGAAACACTTCTTTAATAGCTGCCTTCCCACCCTGCACATTCATCCTGATAAGTCTACTATGAGCCGGTTTTATAGCATAATGATGTTGAATATTTCATAGTCTCTTCCCATTCTGCCCCGAAGTGTTCGCAAGAGAATATAATGCACTGGGCGGTAACCCTTTTCAGAAAAAGTCGTATGGCTTACCAAAAAAAACAGGTTTGCAAATATAATAGACATTTGTTCCCTAATCTATCAGTTCCGATAGCTTGTTTTTTGCCTTCTCCATCCCAGCACCTTCCTCCTCTACTATATCATCCCAACTCCCCCCCCCCCCCTGTGAAGGGGTTAGGTGCCAAGATGACGCATGCAGAGAACGTGATTTCGATTTCAGTGTCCGCGTAATTGAGTATCTGAAGCTTTCTGTTGATAAAAAAAAAAATCCATTTAACACCAGACTGGGCTTGACAGGCAAGGTCAATCCCTGCCTCTTAAATGATCTAGATCTAGCATGTGTCGTTGGGGGCGGATAACCGCCTTCGTATTATTTTATGAGGAATGTCTTGTTTTACAAGTCGTGTTTCTACCTCTCTTTTTTAAATTCTACTATGTTACTTGTACTTCATTTTGTTCTATGATATCGCGTTCGCTTGCTATGATGCCTATTCTCCAACCAAGTAAGTAAGTAAGTAAGTAAAGCTTCCTTCTCTTCTCTTTCAGTTCGCTGCTTTAACATTATGTAGCCAACTGGTTCTCTCTGGCTCCCAACCGTAAGGTCGTGGGTTCCAATCCCGTCAAGGTTCCGACATTGTGTCTTTAGGAAGGGTATTTCATACGAATTTTCCTCACTTCACAAAGGTAAAACCGGGTTACGGCTATGGACAGCAAACGATATTGTCAATTTGTTAGTATTTGAGTACTTACACTGTATACTCACGGGAAGCAAAAAATATTTCTGAGGGCTCCTACGGCCTGCTGGGGTAGCAATATTATAGTCTAAAGAGTATAGAATTTGTTTCCGGCGGGGATATGTGCTATACAAATGATATTTGTTATTTTATTATTTGTGAGACGTCGTGGTGAAATCAGGCGCTCGTTAAAAAAGGACATCCGAGAAATCGGTATTTTTCGGCCAGTTTGGAATTTTTTTCTCGAATTGTTTTTAGCTCAACAGCTTGCATGTCCTTTCAAAATCACTTACATGTGTGGATTTTATGGAAAAAAACGATGATTAAAAGCACAACAAACAGTTTCCAGGGACTCTTAAGCTATGGAAGTCACTAAACTTTTGCGGCCATTTTCTCGCTAATTTTACCTCCGAAACCAGGTGACCTCACATCCTTCAATTGCAAATATCTCGACATCTGTTCAAATGAACAACTTTTAAAATGATGCCCCCCCCCCCTCAACCCTGCCTCTTCCTTCTCCGTGTCTTTGTTCACTTTTTCCTCCTGCTCCCTCTTTTACTATTGTTGCTGCCCCCATTCTTTCTGCTATTCCTTCCCACCGCCCTCCTCCTCCTCCTCCTCTTCCTCCTCCTACTCCTTCTCATCCTCCTCCTCCTCCTCACTTCCTTCCTCCTACTCCTCCTCCTACTCCTCCTCCTTCTCCTCACTTCCTTCCTCCTACTGCACCTCCTACTCTTCATTTCCATCCTCCGTATTTCTCTGTTCCTCCTCCTCCTCCTCCTCCTCCTCCTCCTCCTCCTCCTCCTCCTCCTCCTCCTCCTCCTCCTTCCTTCCTCCTCCTCCTCCTCCTCCTCTTCCTCCTCCTCCTCCTTTTCATCCTTTTGCTCCTTTTTCTCCTCCTCCTCTTCCTTCTCCTTTTCTGTCTTTTTTATCTTCTCTTCTTCCACCTCCTCCTCCTCCGTTTTTGCATCCCCCAACGGTATATGGTTTTACTTTATGCTTCATTCTTTCCTCTTTTCTTTGCAATTGACCAACATAATTCAGGTCTGCACTAACTACAAAGATTATATGTGAAGGGTACTGACAAAATGAGTTACTTTTCAGATTCGAGTCCTATGAAAATAGATACATCACGCATATAGGTGGAGTTTTGACAATTTATAAGTATGACATAATAAAAGGCATATTATAGTTAAAGAATACGGCATCAATACAATATCTACAAATTTGACACTAGGTGTACATTTTTGGCCAATATCTCCATTTGTGGATTGCGAAAAGTAACTCATTTTGTCAGCCCACCTCACATATTATGTATAACTAGACGAGTCTCTGGGGATCACAAGTGCTATCCTATTTGAGACAACTTCACTAACGGGTTCTTCACTATAACAATCTTTAGGCTACAGCCTTCTTTTTTATTCAAATCTAATTTTTTAGATATATTGCATTTTTTTAAATTATTTGTTACCAGAAAAAAACTTAGTAATACCCTAAAAAATCCCAACGCTTGAACTATCCCAATTGGGAGCAACTAAACTGTTTTATCCTAAATGTTTCCATTTTCCAGGAAAAAAAACACGATTGACTTGCTACTTCTTTATCCTGCGTAAATGGTGTTTGTATCTTTAAACATTATTTCCTTGATATTTTTCCTTGATAGAAGCATACCGGTTTGACGCAAGGTGTGCCGTTAAGTACTGGCTGATCCAAATAAAAAAGCTGTACAAATTTTTTTGGTAAATATTTTCCTCCACACTGAAGTTTTTCGTTTCAAATTTGGAAGTCAAAGGAATTTGTCTGATATTCATTTCAGATAAATCCACAAAATAGTTTTGCTCTTCATAGAGAATAAAAAATACCCCACTTTCAGCAATTCCCCATTTTTGTAGCTTTGCATTGGGCCTACCACTAAAAATTCTAACTACAGCAGTCTATCAGGCCAACAGAAGTTTGCAGATAGTTTTTCTCAAATTTCCTTTTTCCTACTGAGATCATGGTTAAGATCAGTAAAGAGCAGAGAGCTTTTTGTATTGAACATTTCCTCACGACCAACTCATTTCGTAAGTTTCGCACAAGGTACGGAAATAACGTTAAAGTGCCCTGAAGGCCTTCTTTGATGTCAAGGGTGAAAATGGCCCTTCGGTTAGGACCTGTAGAGAATGACAACCCAAAATACCTAGACAAATCGACCATTTCAGGTCAAACACACACCGTTAGCACCCCTTTAAACGTTACCAGGATGCAGAATTCAGTAGATGAGCCCTATGAGGCCTCTGTCCGTAGATGATGCCTTCAGCAATGACTTTTCTACATCTCAGTGGTCCACATTCTCAAAGCATATACTCCATCAATGCTGTCTACTTGGTCAACCTCACCACCCCCACCCCCCCCCTCTCCTTATTGTCTCTAGAAACAGCTCCGTACAGTAAGGGGTACAGTGTGTGTGGCTTTGAGTACTCATGGTTGAGTGAATCATTGCTTTTGGCCAACACTGAACGTGACGAACGACGCGTTCAAATGTGTCAAGTCCAAAAGAGGACATATAGACCATTGGTTCTCGGAATTCCAGAATTTAAAAACTATTTTTTTAATTTCTGTAGGAGAAAAGAAATTTAATTTGAAGGTTACAAGATCGGAAAGATTAGGTTTCTGGAAATGAAAGAAAAAAACAACTAAACCAATCATCCTAACTTTCCTTACAAGATCTTTTAAATTGGTTCATTTTGCATTTATAGGTGGTTATTACGAGTATAAAAGTCATTTCCGTTTTTGAAATAGGTTTATTCTTTGTATTGTGTCAAACAATTTCCTTTTGAATGAATTACATCTGTTTCAAATTACAACATTCTAGTACAAATTGTGTGCAAAATGTTTAGAAAAAAAATGTTGTACAGTTATTTTTGGGATCACCCTGTATATTGTCGTTTTTCTCTTGAATAAATGTCTAAAATATCATTTCGTGAAATTTAATGCTATATTTCCTTCATCTTGGTTTTAATCGGTGTAAAATGTTTGGGCTGAATAATTAGGAAACCATAATTTGAAAAAAGAATGTTTCATATTTATCAATTGGCCTCTGTGTATTTATGCTCTTCTAGTGTAGCCCTTTTCCTATAGGCACATAAACATCCAGCTCAGTTCACATCACCACCTTAGTTAATGCACACAGACTGGTGGTTGCAACTCGGGGAGAAGCTCTCAAACGGCAAAAGGAGAGATGTGAAGATCAACAGGGAGCTAAACTTCACTATTTTAGGAAGATCAATTCATGTGCCATAACCTTTATCGGTGTAAAGGTGGTCATTTTTTCCTTCTCTTTACATGCCATTTTATTTAAATTATGTTGATATATGAGCAGATAATATCATCTTGTATATAACAATAAACATCCCCACTCCAAGACAACAACATAAACAAGAAGAAAGCAACAACTAATCCTCCGATAATCGTTTTCGTGGATCATACTTTCGCAAGAACATAACCTGCCCAGGAAGGGGTTACAGCTTCGACCCCCAAATTGCCTCCAGCGAGACTGTTTCGGCTTTGACAAGACAGAAGTTAAACGTATACGTATACAGTTTTGGTCCAGACGAATATGGAAGCCCTATCATAGCCATATTATGTTGAAGGGAAAGTCAATAACAAGACTATTGTTTCTATAGTCCTGTATCATCAGCGTCGTTAGCTGTGTTAATGGTATCAATCCTTGCCCACCGCCAGGGCAATCACAGAGTCAGTCAGTTCTGACGCAGTCAACAGATGAAACACAGGCTGAACTCACCGGATGCAGGTAATGATCACAAGGCTGTTCCCACACACGGCCAGGACGCCAACCAGAGTAATGAACACCCCCACGGAAAGGTGAACGCCCTCCGGAGCCTCCTCATGCTCCAGCCAATGAGGATGCAGTAGTTCATGGTACGGCTGTGACGTCAGGCTGGAACTAACGTTCATCGTCACAACGCCGTTAGTGCTTGGGCCAGCCATTTTGGCCCAGTTCATTAGATGTCTGATGCTGAAAATATCTCGCACTTAAACTCGGGGACCTTTGGGAGAGCCATTGGAAGGAGAGATTTTGGAAAACTACTAACCGTGTTTCTTTCTTTTAAGTTGCTTTTTTACAATTTTGTTTTTTCTTCTTAAGTCCATTCCACTTTCAGTTCTCAATCGAATGTCCCTTCTTAAGTATCCTCTTGAGCACTTATTTGCTTAGGTGACAACACCGTTATTTGTCATGTTGTACGGTTAAGAGCTACAGAGTTTTAAAATGATGCAAATGCAGTGAGCTGAAACAGCTTTCTCAACTCCAAACTTTCAGGAGGCTGGAGCCTGATTTACTTGCGTTGGTACTTGATCTGGGAAAAGAAAAAAACATCACAGAAGGTCATAGCCTGATCTTGAAATGAAAATAAATGCAGAAACAGACACATATTGGAATAATGTTTCCCTTTCAGCGCGAGTTAGCCCTGACACACTTGGTCAAAGCAACCCGTTTTTCTTGTGATCTCTATCTTTTATTTCATTTTGATATACTTTGCTCGAAACCTGCTCCGATTTCTCTTTCTGGGTTGTTTTCGATTTCATATGGTTTCAACTAGCTTCTAAACTTAGAGAGATCATTTCAAAAAATAGGAATATACAAAATAGTTCATTTCTGTCAGAACTGTTATCGAACAAAACGTGTGCCAATTAATGTTAGGTGGATTACGTCATACTCGAAAGAAAAAAACCAAACAAACAAACAAACTACAAACACATACACACACACACCCGCACGATAAATGTGAAATTTGCTTCTGAGGATGTTTCCGCAGGGGAGAGTACTCTTACAGAAACATCAATCACTACCGGAAGCTCTTGCATCAGGTCCGGACACGCCGGTTCCATTACTCGGTTTTGTTCTTGACCTTCTTACGAGGACGATGAACCCACACTGTATTCTCTTCCACGAACAATTGAACAGCTGATCTTGGACGAGGATTTATCTCATCATGTCTTTCAGACTTAAGAAATTCGGTCAGTAATTTTTTTTCATAATATCTCTATCAACAATAGATTTATGATTTTTTCTTTTGAAATTTTTAATCCTGTTTTTCCATCTTACCCTACTTCAGTATAAAAGAAAAACGCGACAAAATAGATGTTAGGATAAAGCTGGGTTGTATATTATATGTAAATTAATTCATCTTTTTAGACAACAAACATCCCTTGTTCCCTCAAATAAAAACATCAGTCAGAAGTAAAAGACCTAAGCGTCTGATCTGTAACAAAGAAAGCTATAGATGGTTATTTTTACCATAATCTATCAAAATGCTTCCATCTTAACCATCTTGTACAAGTATACTTACGACCATAGAGCACGCATCAAAATAACATTGGGGTGTATCTAACTTACGATTAATATTGTTTACATTGCTGCTCTTTTATATTATTCATGAGATTGTAAGCCTACGTGTGTGTGCGCGTGTGTGTGTGTGCGTGCGTGTGTTCGTGTGTGTGTGTGTGTGTGTG